GCTATTGGTGCGTTTGGGCGTCACATGTAACTGGAAATGTTTCTTCTGTTAGGTTCTATAGTGACTTTTTTCGTAGTCATTTGCATATTTTAGTATCATGCCCCCAAAATCAAATATCCCCTACTTTTTTTGAATAGTATAGTAAAACGGGATCCTGGACATCACTGCCAGTGTAACACTACGTAGTCTATGAGTAGCTAGTCAGATGTAAAAAGCCAGTAAGTCAAAAACTCCTCACATCCAGCGTGTGACGCATACTCTCTTCTCTGCTACATATTTTAATGACCTTGTAATCGTCTAGTATTGTCTCTGGTTATATTTGTTTCTTCGTATGGCTAGGACTCACGTTGTGTATATTCTTCTTAATCTCCGTCGCTAAGACGTTTGTCTACCAGGTACAACAATGCTGCAGTTCCTTTCTACATTTTATATCAAGTCTGGATACATAGGTTACAAGCCTAGGTTACAATACTTTAAATTAACATGTTTTCTCTCCACCACTCAATTTGCAGATCGAGTTTACTGACGGAATGCCTACATCATATGGCTCTCCTACAAGTCATTGCGTGATGCAGGACGGAGGGGCTGACAAGGAAAGCTGTCTAGTCGTTCGGATGGGACGAAAAACCGAGGTCCCGTGTACACATTGGCGTGCACGTAATGAAATGAAATGGGGTTTAACGTCCTACTGTTCTGCTCCGAACTGGGCTAATGAAGACGGGCATACGCCATACAGTGTGCTATGAGGGAAATTTTGCCCGGGCAGCGGCACTATGGCCTACTCTTATATCGAATTCCAACTGTCAAGGGATCTTTTACGTGCACACCAATGTGTAAACGGGACCTCGTTTTTTCGTCCTATCTGAACGACTAGACAGCTGTTCTTGTCAGGACCTCCGTCCTGCATCACTAACAAGGGGCAACCACGCCGGAAAATCTGATCTCGAGGCTAGCGAGCCAGCGTCTTACCCACTTAGCCACGTGATCCCCGCAATGGCAGCGAGCAATTGTGTGTGTATGCGTACAAGCAATTTGCAGGCGTTGTTTAAAGCTTTGCAATAGCTGATCATGTTACTAGTCAAAATTGCAGCCCCACTTTATAAGATATGTCCACGAAAGATTGTTTGCTATCGCAATTAATACTCGATTTCAGAGTGATCAAGCAATTCTTTGCCGCCGAATTTCCACTTGCTTGATATTTGGGATATTTATTGACGTCGCAATGACGCGCACAAAGACCATGTTGTTTTAGCACTATGGGCCACAATTTGAAAAAATCGCTTACACATTGCTTAGGAAAATCGCTTGGCTTTTTAATCATAATCCAGCGTCATTGAAAGGTTGACTATGTACCACCAGGAATAACTTGATGAAGAACTAATGACTTCCTCTACCAACAAGAAGGCTTATTCCCTGCTGATTAATTTGCTCAAATAAACTGACGTGATATTTGTTGACTATTAATTGGGATATTGAACCCGTCAAATCCCTAACTGTGGCTGTGATTTGCCTGCGGTACTTTAAAAGTACTTTAGTGATTTATAACAAACAAAGATCAGTAGTTTCTAGATATATACAGTTCGAGCCGTCGAGTTTGATACTGGAAATTATTAATATACAACATTGATATAAACGAGACAAAACACGGACATTGTAAGCGATAAGAGAACAAGTAGCTTTGTGCCGTCGAATTTAGTAGTTGGAAATTAGAATCTTGATAAACTAATAGTGAGAGAAGAGGTTGTTTATGTGTGTGGGGGTGCGGGGGGCGCACATAACCCCAAACTATATTTGTACCTAACATAAAACAGAGAAACCTATGGATATGAACACGGACATTGTAAGTTATAAGAGAACCAGGAGGCGGTACAGATATCAACCCATCCCTCAGCTCCTTTGTCACAGATAGTCCCCGTAGATTGTGAAAAACTGCAAACAGAACTCGGATGAATATATGGGTATAAGCGAGACAGAACACGGACATTGTTGACTACAAAAGAACCATCTGGCGCTAAAGAGACCAACCCATCCCTAGACTCACTCCCCAGCTCACTTGTCACAGATGGTCCCCCCAATTGAGAGTGAACCACAAGGCACAACAAAAAATAATCCAGATAATTATATGGATGTAAATGAGACAAAACACGGACATTGTATGCCACAAGAGAATTGTTAGGCGCTAAAGAGCCCCACCCATCCCTCACCTCACTCCGCACAGTTGAAAGTGCATTAAGCCCGAATCTCTTATCACACATCAAGAAAGTCACATTTTGCCTTTGGCCACTGACGAAAACAGTTCATCTGCAAAACGTAGTTAACAAATTATCCTCGATAGATTTCCTTCAGTCGAAGAATGCAATCTTTGTTATGTGATGTAATTAACTACTTATGTAGAGTTCATTTAATTTGGTTCATCCGTGACTTATTTCATTAGAAGTCGACTAACGATGTATTGAAGCAGTAACAAATTACATAACTTTTGATGGAAAACTTTTTTTCTCTGTGATTTATCTTAATTAATTCTGTCTCTTGGTCTGTTCCCAATCAGTTGTATATAAAGGTTAGCTGAGGATATCTTGTATGACGTATATCAATGATCAGTACAGTATAAAAATTCGTATGTTGACTTTGATATAAACTAGCGTCGGATGTATTGGTGACGTTTTTCATTTGAAGTCAAAGGTCAGACCTGTCAAATATGCATTGTTATCCAATGGAAACACCACGATGGGTGAATTAAGAATTATTGAGTAACAGAATTAACAAAACATGAAAGATGATGGGTCAAAGTTGTCAAGATGCATTAACAAGCGCTATTATTGGTGCGATAGGGGGGTTGGTTTGTTTTTTTTTTATTTAAGTGTTATATTCCAGCATTTAAGTTTTGGTAACATTTGGCAAGTTTTATCACCTCGTCGTGTTCTTATCTGTGTACTGTGTACAGCCAAAAAAACAACTGTTCACATCCCGTCGGATCTATGTATAAATTCACTGAAGGAGCGTGCGTACCCAGCTGACGCCAGCCGTGGATAGGTCATATTACCTTGACATTGTGATGAAATATAGCGAGTCAAAATTTGGTTGAATAACAAATATATAAACAATACGCCACGCAACCAAATAAAGCCTAGTTCATAACCCGCCGTATGTGTATTGACACGCACGGGTTGGGAGGTTTGGTAGCTGACAGTCCAGCCGCAAGAAACCGGGTGCAGGACTAAAAGTCTCTACGGCCAGTCTGCGATATTCTGCGGTGCCAAACACAGCAAGTGACGAGTAAAGCTGCATTTCCTTTAGTACGGATCCGGTCCGGCTCCGGTCCGGTTGCGGATACGGAAAAAAGCACTTTCATAGAATTTTAGTAAGAGTTTTTCCTTATGTGCGGGTGCGGATACGAATCTGTATGCGGCGTCCGGTACGGTTTTTCGAAACGGACCATGTAGCGTTTGGTACGGAAACGCATGCGGAACCGTGTCCGTAAACGCACATAAGGAAACACAGTTTGTATGGTGCAACTAATATTATCAATGTTTTTTCTTCTTTTACGAACCTTGACAATGCCGGTGCCATGTTGAAAAACCGCATATAAGGATACACAACTTGCCGTGTGCTATGTCTACTCCCGGACCGGATCCGTACTAAAGGAAATGCAGCTTTAGTCTCACACACGGGTTTAATAAAAAAAAATTCCCCCGTAGACTACCTGTAGTAGCACATACGGTGGGTTGTGAGCTAGACTTAAAATAACCACACCAAGGTTCACCATTACTAACACGCCCATGGAAGCCTAATTGTGTATTGTCAATGTTTATTAGATGTGAACATATATTAACGTACTTTATAGTGGGACAAACACTACCCGGTCTCTTAAGCACTATCATCAATATCGTCTTTATTGTTTCGTTTCAGCAACTTCCCACGTCGTGTAAAGAAACTTAATTACTAAGATCGTTCTTTATTGGCTCTGGTGGTTTTGAAGTAAACCAAAGAGTTAGTCATTGATCCAAGAGGAGATAAACTTAGTCCCTTTATAAACATCATACCAATCAATACACCACAAATATTAATTAGAATTTTTAATTACTTAAATAGATGGGTGTCTGATCTATAATTAACAAGTAAATATATAGAAAGCTACGGACAATAGATTTGGTGATCTTTTGTCATTTTCTAGTCTATTTACAATTCTATTGACCATATAACAGACAGATACCAATAGCCTATACAATGCCAACTTTGATTAAAAACCAAGCCACATTGATTCCTGAAAACCAAAAAATAGAGCATTCTGTATTATTTGTAAAATCAGCCTTGAGCGTATTTGTACATGAAAAGACGCTACATCGGTGATCAAATCTGGCCCTGGGCTAACAAGTGTTCCACTCTCGTCAACAACAGTCTCGGTGTCTCAAAATCGCTCTTAAGAGATCAGGCAAAGGGTGATTTGGCCGAATTATAACATGACTGTATGAGAGAATGCCTCGAATCTTCAGTGATTATCCAACAAATTTCATGTTTTAACGGATTCTACTTCGGGATCAATGAAGCGATTGTATAATTTGAGAATTTGTTAAACGAGAATGCTTAAAACGACAGTCAAGGTATAGATTATGTGATAATGCTTGACGTATTTCTACGCGGCTAATGACTTAAAACAATTTTACCCACTAGCTATACGTCGCATTGAATTTTCTTGTTTGCTTTTTATTACCGGTTTTCTTCGGGATATAATATTTCGATCAATAATTTTCCTTTTAAATGGATTCTGAATTAGATAACATTTTTAATTTCGTTCTGTGGCGTGGTTATTTTAAAGCACCGGTTGTCTTATTTCTAGGCCATCAATTTAGAATAAAGAAAAAAAATCAAATGTTCGATAAATGGACGTGGACTGTTTTATTCTACCTACGTGAGCTAATTGAGCAGAGATGATTTTTTTTTATCTAAAACGCTTATTAATTAATGGTTAACTTTATGTTATATATTGTTTTGCATTTCAGATAGAGGAATAACGAAGACCTGCCAATACAAAATGTCAAGAGGGTTGTCCTCCAGATTGAACAAGCAACACGGTGTCAACAGAAGTGAAAGAGATTAGCTAAATGTTATCAAGTCGAGATCGCTAAAACTCAATATCTTGACAAATATTGAACCAGGCTTTCTCCTGTTATCGGCTAGTGTATAGAATACGTGCCAATGTATGCTGCACACTGTCTTCCTATGTTTGGATATGCGACAATTGATGATGGTTCTAGTTCCCAGCGCGCCATTACTACATCGAGTGTTTTCCGATGTCTGAAAAGTCGGCGACCAAACATGAAACTGTTTCCTTTACTTTTATCCAAGATGTCGTATGTTGGTGGTTTGTAACGGAAACGGAAGGAAAGACGGGAAATGTTTGTTCCTCATGCGCGTGTGCGTCTCGTGGGCCTTCCAGAACATGCCAGACGTAAACGTAGGCGGGTCGCTAGACGACGTTTAAAATGTGCCGAAATTTTACGAATGCCGTGTCTGCTCCCAACATTTGGTGCCATAGTTCTAGGAATAGTTGTGTTAGCTAGCGGATGTATGATGAGCATTATGGGATTTTATCCCGGAACAATTTCAGATACTTTTCTAGCTCAAAATAATACCCAAGCGGTCCCTATAGAATACAATGCTACGTATTATACACTAAAATGTTTATCTTATTTAGGTCCAATGTTGATGGGTATTGGGTTATTTGTGATAATAGTGGCTGCTGTATTATATTGCGAAATCATGGATAAATATGTAAATATTGTGCCGGATCAAAATTCCAGGAAAATTGGAAAAGATGAATTATATAAAATGATAATGGAGCAATTTAGGAAAAATTATTTTCGAGGTATCGAAGTGCCTTTACAAAAACCTCACGCAGTGCTAAGGTCAAGTTCTGTGAATAAAACTTTATTTAAAGCGCTGAGTATAAGTACGCCCGCCATGCTTGTAACACCAGAATTGACTAGTCCTTGGAAGAAAAGGCACAAATCTCCACTTCCGGATAGAAAGGTTAAAAAGTCGGTGAAATTAAAATTACTGGAATGGGAAGAAAGGTGGCTTAAGACATCGTCTCTTCCTAATATAAGACCTGTTGACAATGACTCCACCGACGTAGAGTTATCTTCAGACACAGGGATAGCTTGTCGAGAGGAGTGTCTAAAAATCAAAAGGATGTCGCGTAGTTGTGGCAACGTGCCGGAAGTGTGCGATGTGTCGGTCGGTGAATTCTCGGAAATGACCTCATCAGGGTTAGATAATCCGGCCTATATTGCAGATCCCGAAAAAGAGAAATTACTGAAACCAAAAACATTGCAATTATCCGAAAATTATAGAAGTTGTGATCACATACAAAATGATAATGTTAATATTAAACGCGTTTCTGTGATAGTACACAAGGCTTCCATTCATACGCCGCCTGATCTTCATACCGATTTAGGCAAAATGTACGTTAAAGGAATCCGAGCAATCAAATCATGTGACCAGGAGAGTTTCGAGGAGAACAAATTACTGGATAATGTGCGGCAAACGGGTAAATATAAAAGTTGTCTTGGGTTAGTAAATGGAGAGAAATTCCGTTCTCACAATTCAATAAACGATAATTTGAAGCCTGTAAAAGTTAAAGATGCTAATTCAACCGAATCGATCACTCTCACTGAAGACATGTTACGGATATTCGATATGGCGGAAATGGCGCGTGTGTAGAAGCCACATGAGTGTAAAAAATCAGACGTTTCATATTACATCGATCATTTTGGGGAAGAAGAAGGGTGCCTTTCCCCCGGGCAGCAAATGTTGTAATAGGTCTCTGAACACCGATTAGGCCACATCAATGATTTTCTCTTCTTCGGGGCCTTTATAAATAAATAAATAGCCCCTTGAATCAATCTGATTAAAATACAGATCTATATTTCGTTTCGTTTTTTTATACTTTCGATCGTATGACGTCAGACATTTGATTAACCAATCACCATTGATGTTACTAGTGGATTACCCACAGTTCCATGCAAACCACGCCTTAAGCTCGCCGTAACAGACCGTTTCATTGGCTAATTCCTCACACCATTCAGAACACGTCAATGATAACAACTCTTCCAGATCCTAGTGTAGTAAAGACAAGTAAAACGAAATTTTGAACTATAAAAACGAAAAGAAATAGGATCTGTGTTTTAATCAGATTGCCTCTTGAATGACGTGGAAGATGTTTTGTTTCAAATTTCAAAACTTAAAGAACAGTATAGGTGTTAGCCATTATCACATATGTAATAGAACTGGTTGAACACGTTCTAAATATAATTTTGACACAGAGATCATTGCGTAACGAAGATTTCAAGAAACGGAGGTGACAAAAGGAAAACACGAGTTAGGCCTATCCTTCTATATAACTGACTGAAGTAACGAGCGACACAAATACACGGGCGAATTTCTGCTCACTAATAATTCCTTCGAAGACCAAAGTTATTATATGAGATTATGGGAGGATATCTGACAACCCCCCAAAATAATAGAATGTCACTAGATAAGAGAAACGAGAAAAATAGAAACAGTCCGTGCATTACCATGTTTTTATTCATTCTATATTTAATAACAACATAGTAATACACGGGCTATTTCTATTCTTCTCGTTTTCTGTTATCTAGTCACATTCAATTATATTTTTGGATTGTCAGATATCCTCTCACAATCTCATATAATAACTTTTGGTCTTCGAAGGAATTATCAGTGAGCAGAAATTTGCCGTGTATCTGTTGTCGCTCGTTACTTCAGTCAGTTATATAGAAGGATAATTCTTGTTTTCCATTTTTTGCGTCACTTCTGTTTCGTGCAATCTTCGTTATACATCTATCCTAGCAATGATATCTGTGTTAAAATTATATTTGGAGCGTGTTTAACCAGTTCTATCACATATGTGATAATGGACTCCAATATTGTCCTTTAAAGACTTGGAACTGGAAGCTTTTGAACTGTGGAACCAAATACCTTTGGTTTTTAAATTAGTCTCTTTTTTTTCGAAGAAATAACAAGCAAGATTTTAACAGGTGTTACCGAAGAACAGAAAATCAAATAGCTGTGGCCTTAAACTTTTTTTTTCGTTTTTTAAAAGCTTCTGCTCCTCAGTTTTATGTTCAGCCGAGTTGAGTTTTTCTTTCAATTAAAGGAATATTACTTCTTTTCATTCTTTAATTGGTGACATTTTGCTAACTTGTTCTATTTTTAAAAATGTAAAATAAATCTATTCAATTTATTAAAAAGAATTCTGACGTCATCATTACTAGGAAAATGATGACCGGATAGTTCCTTTCTCATTTCTGGAAACGAGTCTCATCCATGGTTACAAACCTGGACAAATTATTATCAGGATCTGCTTCAAGACGACACAGATTGTCACAGGGCGTCAGGAATCTGACACGTTTCTGATCCGCAGTCCAGAGCTTTGGCACCCGTCTTGCAGAAACTTTTGTCATTCATAACACATAGGCGATAATGTGCTCAACCCTCTCATGAGAGATGCCCACAATACTGGCAATATGTCGATTGGTCAATCGTCGATCAGCCATCAACATGTTATGCACCCGGGTAATGTTTTCTTGAATGGTTGCTGTTGATGGCCTTCCAGGACGGGGGTCATCGTCAAGGCTCTATCTGCCATGCCTAACTTCCGCAGCTCGTTTCTTTACTATGGAAAAGGAATGGGTATCATCCCTTAAAGTGGAGACCAGGTCGACATGTATCTGTGTTGGGGTTAGTCTTTTCGGTTGCGGCTACTTGATGACTGCCGTATAGCCAGTTTTGTCCATTTCTGGTGATTTCAATGGGTAGGTTCACAAGATGGTCTGGTATGGAGACAATAATAACACTACAATTGTAGTTCTTTTGTCTATGATTCATTTAATGATTGTACTTGTTGGTGACAAAAGTTTGTTTCAACCCAATTGATCTATCCTTTTCAGGCTTTGGAACTTTTCAGCCATTCGACCAGCCCTCGTACAGGGCGCGGGATGTTAATGGCCCAGTCATGTTGTTTAGCAGTTAGTTGATAATTAAAGTCCATAATTTAGTGCAAAAGTTCAAAATCACGAACTTTAGTTTTCGGGCTTGGGGTCAACAATAATACAATTCACACAGATCATCAAATATTGAATGATGATATGTAATTATACTGGTTATATAACTAGAACCCATGATGTCGGAAGGTCAGAGAATTATTATGAACTCGAGTCAACACTTGTCCTCCAATAATCTCCTTATATAGCAAAGGGTGCCCTGGTGGCTCAGTAAGTAACCTGGAGGTCGCGTGTTCGATCCCGGTGTTGGCAGAAAACGTTCATCGTGATTTTTTCGGCGTGGTTCCCCCTTATATAGTCGTCGGATGGGATGAAAACCCGAGGTACACATCGGCGTGCATATAAAAGAACTCTCTACAGCGGTCACGTGGAAAGTCTATATTAGGTAACCAATACAAACAAAACACTGCCAGTTTAATTAATAAGTACAACCAGCGGTTGCCAGGCAAGATAAGCCCACATTTTGCCAGAGATGGACAGAAAACAAGCCAAAAACAAAAGCGATTTTTCGTACAATCAGGTACCATAATTCAGAAAGTTCTGGTCTGAAATGCGCAAATATCGAAAGGGGCTGAGATCTTTGGGATATAAAGATATATTTAAAGTCTCATCAAAATCGGATAAAATTGTGTCCTCTAGAGGGTCCATAACCTTCGTATTACATACTTTTACACAAGAGCGGCCATTTTGTCGGGCAGTTTTGTTTCGATTTTCCCGAAATTCAAATTCAACCTTCCTTACGGAAGAATAGTGATATATTTAAACGATTTTTAAAATCGGATATAATTGTGACCTCTGGAGGGACCACAATCTTAAATGTGATTTTCATACAATCAAGGGTCATAATTCAGGACGTTAAGATCAGATATGCGAGAATATCGAAAGTAACCAAGATCTTTGGGTTATAAACATGCATATCACGTTTCATCAAAATCAGATGAAATTGTGACCTCTAGAGTGCCCATAAGTTAAAAACACGATTTTTCGTACAATCAGGAGTCATAATCCATGAAGTTACGATCCGATACATGCAAATATCGAAAGGAACCAAGATCTTTAGGCAATAGACCTTTATTGTTTAATGTCAGATACTATTAATAATATACTAGGTATTTATACATATTAAAACAATCTGTTTCAAAAAGCTAATGCAAAAGCCTTCTTCTAACTCTGTGTAAGATGACTGACCTTTATAAGTCCGCATGCATTGTACGCATGACGTCACATCACAGGGAGCCGACCATTGGCCTCGATAGTACGTGCATTGCTAGCATATAGGACGTTGTAAGGTAAACTGGTCCGATCAGAACGGTGCCTTTTCCACATTTTACGCATTCGCGTAACATATTATATACCCATTTACACTAAATAGGAAATATTTTATCCATATATACTTCAAACACCTTTAATTATTTTTCTAATACTTCAAAAAATGTTTTAGAATTTAATTTGCAGAAGCATAAAAGCAAATATTGTGAGCTAATTAACTCGCACCGATGTCATCCGTTTAAGTGAATTGTAGCAGCCTAGCGATTATGCACTGCTGAACAGTTTGATATTCCAAATCCAAGACATTTCTTCATTCACCTGAATTAAACAGCTCCGTGTGTGTTCATTAACCGTGTTGCTGAGTTGGCGCCTATATTCAAACCAGAGCTCAGATCTTTGAGGGTTTTTTTTCTAAATTCCTTTTTTCTCGGTCATCGCAGCCTTTAATATCTAGAATTCGACTACAACTAAAATCTGGACAAAAAAGCTTAAATTTTGTATTAAAGTCATGCAGAGAGTCGTTTACAATAGCTCGAGAGGAAAGTGACTTCCACCTTGTCTAATAAATACACATAATTCATCCATAGCATGGTTGTATAAGTTGGAATCAGTGGCGGGATGGTTGCGGGGTTAAAAGGACAGAAGGGCTGACATAAATGCCCGCGACCCCGCCCAAATGCACAATTTTATTGACCATATAATGATAAATGTTATTTCCTTAGGAAGCTTTCAGGGGAGTAAGCGATTCGCGATATATGAGTTGTCTGTGGGAAATAGAATATTTAAAGTAGCTAAGTTTCTAACTCAATATCATCCAAAATCTTCGACATTGCAAACACGAATTATTTGTCAATTTAAATCAACATTGATGCCATGATCTTACCGGGCAACGATGGACTTCTGACATCCAATATTTAAGACAAAATAATCATTTTACGATTGGCACACGAATCGTGTACCATAATGCGTTTCAGCGCTGTTTGTCATAAGGGGCTCGAAAAACAAGGCTAGACATATTCCACAAGTCATGTCAAACGGTGACGCCATATTCTTCTGGAGAGCATGCGCAATAAATATTACCGGTGTAGACTGGAATAACAAAACGCTAGAAATTGCCATTCGATTGAGACTTATAGCGTATTTCGGCGAACATAACTGTTTAGAAATTACAGTAAAAACAAAAACGATTGAATGTAAATCAGTTTAAATACATTCATATTACATTATTATATGCGTTGCTACCCATTTGTGTCAATTTCTAGGTCCCAAAAATTAGCGATTTAGCCCCTTTAAGCAACTTTAATAGCAAGATGTGCTCAAAACTACAACATTTTCCCTGGGTCTTTGCTTCTTACACCCTGAAAGATAAATTCTAGGGATATAACTGTAAACAATTTAGCACGTTAAATGGTTCCTACAACGTTATTGTTAAGCTGGAATGGCTTCGAAGGTTCCTCGTTCTCAATAAATAATAGCTGCTCACCAGGGGGGGTGAACATTACCCTATTTGGTCTACCAACCATAGGTCAATAAACAGATAGAATTTGATGGATATTTTGACAATGGTTAGGATTTTGTTTTTATATATAAATATATCATTCACGTTCATTAAGTACGTGTGATTTGACTCTATAGAAAGAGTGAAGCAACAGTGTTTCAAGTACCAATATTGTCTTAAGGACCAAAGTATTACAGTGTATATCATTGGCAGTAGGTTAAAGATCCCATAATAAAGATATGAAATGAGTGGACAGTGAAAATATCCCCCATAATGTTAGCCCGATTGATGCTGACAGTCTACTGGTCACTTGCGTGTATGCGGCACCGTAGAAGATCGCAGACTGGTCGTAGAGACTTTTGCCCATACAAAATTTTCACCCGGTTTGTTGCGGCTGGTCTGCGAGCTACCATACCCTACCCGTGCCTGTGAAAACACTTACGGCGGCTTGTGGGCTAGGTTTAATTAAGACTTGCATACGACATACAGTGTGCTATGAAGGAAAGTAAGGAAGCCTATAACTACCATTCATAATTTCTACTTTTCGCCCCCTTCAAAAGGCGAAAGTCGAAAAGTCGAAAAGTAGAAGTTAATACAAAATGGGAGGCGAC